GTGTGCTTCAAGTGCGGCAAGAAAGGTCATGTGTGGAGGTTCTGCCGCGAACGCTCCAGCCGACCACCATTGCTTCCAACACCAAAAAACAGTCATCGCCAGTAAGCTTGGGGCGACTTTCTGGCAACCTGCAGAGCCCTTCCATCATTTCTCTTGAAAACACCTTCCCATCCAACCCCCTTCTCCTTTCCATCAGCATAAGGAACCGTACCTTTAAAGCTTTGATTGACAGCGGAGCATCTTCAAACTTCATTTCATCAAACCTTGTCTCTGAACTATCTCTCCCTATCCAAAAAGATTCCCTTTCCCAAACAGTGCAGATGGCGAACGGAGCTTCTATCACGTGTGGCCCAACCCCTTTCCCAATCAGCTGCACCATGGGCTCATACAAAGACAAGCTCCAGTTCCAGCAAGTACCTTTGGGAGAGCATCATCTAATCCTTGGACGTGACTGGCTATCATCCAAGAACCCACGGATTGATTGGACTGCTGGAACAGTAACCATCGTGCACAGTGGAGCTGAAATCACTCTTCCTACCATCCCTTCCTCCTCTTCCTCACCCAGCTGCAGTGTAATCTCTGTGAAACAGTTGAAGAAGCTTTCCAAAGACCCTCAGGCTCAATTTTTCGTTTGCTTGCTGCAACAAACCTCAAAAACCATTTCAGCCCCTTCTTCTCCTAATCCCAACCCTCCTGCAGAAATTCAAAAAGTTCTCTCTGATTTTCAAGATGTGTTTCCTTCAGACCTCCCAACAGGACTTCCTCCCAAGCGTTCAGTGGATCACCGGATCGTGCTACAACCTGGATCTGAACCGCCTGTTCGTGCCACCTACCGCATGAGCGCTGCTGAACTGAAGGAAGTCCAAGCTCAACTGGAGGAACTCCTTGAAAAAGGCTTCATTCGTGTCAGCTCTTCCCCCTATGCAGCCCCTATTCTCTTTGTGAAGAAGAAAGATGGATCTCTTCGCATGTGTATAGATTACCGCGCCCTCAACAAACTCACCATCAAGAACCGATACCCGCTGCCACGAGTGGAAGAACTCTTCGAGCAACTCGGCGAGGCCAAAATTTTCAGCAAGCTTGACCTTCGAAGCGGTTACCATCAGGTTCGCGTTGCTGAAGAAGACATCGAGAAAACAACATTCCGAACCCGGTATGGGCATTTTGAATTCCTTGTACTTCCCTTTGGACTCACAAATGCCCCTGCCACTTTCATGTGCTTGATGCACAACATCTTTCGTGACTTTCTAGATCGGTTTGTCATCGTTTTCACGACCTTCAAGCCTTCCTTGGCCTTGCCAATTACTACCGCAAATTCATCAATCATTTTGCTGCCATCACCTCACCCCTCGCTAACCTTCTTCGTAAGCAGCAGCCGTTTCATTGGGGACCCGAACAGGAAGAAGCTTTCACCACCATCAAACATGCTCTGACCTCCTCTCCCACCCTAGTCCTACCCAACCCCTCCCTTCCCTACATCATCTGGACAGATGCATCTCAAGTTGCTACAGGTGCAATCTTGTGTCAAGACCAAGGACATGGCCTTCAGCCCATCGCTTTTGACTCGCGGAAGCTGAAACCAGCCGAGTGCAACTACGCTACGCATGACCGAGAAGCGCTGGCCATCGTCAATGCTATTAAGAAGTGGCGCTGCTACGTTCATATGCAGCCGGTAACGGTCTTGACGGACCATTGCACTCTGCAGCACTTGAAGACGCAGCCTCATCTCACACCACGGCAGGCAAGATGGATGGAATTTCTTGAACAATACGTTCCTGAGCTGAAAATCGAGTATCGTGCTGGTCGTACAAACCCTGCCGATGTGCTCTCTCGTCCCCCAACCTCTCAGCTTGCTGTGATCGGCAGCGTGACATGGGACCCAGACTTCACCAAAAAAATTACCAAGGGATACCATCATGATAACTTTTACCTCCGTTCTGCCCCTTCCGACAAAGCCTACTATTTTGACCCTCCATTCTGGTACAAAGCAGATTCTCACGCTATCTGCGTCCCTTCTGACCGAAAACTCCGTCTCCTTCTCCTACGTGAGCATCACGACCAGAATTCACACTTCGGAGTGGACAAAACTGTGGCTGCAATTACATCAAAATTTTTCTGGCCTAACATCTACCGTGATGTCCGCTCCTACGTGCGCAGCTGCCATACCTGTCAGTGCAACAAAGCTCGCAATTCCCCTCCCTATGGCCTCCTACATCCCTTGGAAATCCCAGAGACACCATGGAGCCATGTCACCCTTGATTTCATCACTGATTTACCTTCCATTGCTGCCCATCACAATGCCATTCTCACTGTGGTTGACAAACTCACAAAGATGGCCCATTTCATTCCCACTTCCACCACTGCCACTGCCCAAGAGGTTGCTGAATGCTTCTTCACAAAAATAGTACGTCTTCACGGTATTCCCTCTGTCCTTATCTCCGACCGTGATTCCCGTTTCGTTGGCAGATTCTGGCAGGCCCTTTTCAACAGGATGGATACCACAATTCGCCTCTCAACTGCCTACCACCCTCAGTCTGATGGGCAGACCGAGAGAATGAATCGAACGCTCGAAGATGGCTTGCGTGCATGCGTCAACGCTCGCCAAAACGATTGGGACACCCACCTGCCAGAAATCGAGTTCTCCTACAACAGCACGGTTAACCTTGCCACTGGACAGACCCCGTTTTACCTAGCTACTGGACAGAACCCTCGCAATCCTACCTCACTGGTTCACAGCCCCAAACGTGATCCTGCAGCAACGGCGTTTCTGAAGGACAGAGAGAAAGCCATAGCAGCAGCACGTGCCTCACTGTCCAAGGCACAACAGCGCATGATTCACTATGCAGACCAGCACCGACGTGACATCCGCTTTCACATAGGCGACAGAGTACTTCTCTCAACCACAAATCTGCCCCTACTCACTCAAGGCCTCACCCGCAAGCTCGCACCTCGCTTCATTGGTCCCTTTACAATCATACAAGTTCTCTCTCCACTCACATACCGCCTGAAACTTCCTCCTCACATCAACATCAATCCAGTCTTCCATGTCCAGCTACTACGCCCATATCATGATCCTCCAGCTCGCTTCCTTCCCACTTCTCAACCATCTCGCCCTCCCATGTTCACTCCAAGCCCTGATTTGTTCGAAGTTGAGAAGATCCTTGCTCATGAAACAACACCTACTGGCAGATATTTCCTGGTTAAGTGGCGTAAGCATGATGATGCAGAAAACCTCTGGATTCCAGAGAAAGGCCTGCAGCATGCACAACGAGCTATCTCTGCCTACCTTGCATCTGCTGGTGCACCGAGGACGGTGCCCCTTGGAGGGGGGAGTAATGTTACAGGGCGAAGGCGAACTCGCCACAGAAAAGTTCGCAAGCTGGCGAACTTGTAACCTTCGCCAAAAACCCAACCTGAAATGTGAAATTCGAGGTTGGAAATCTCAACCTGAAATGTGCGCTTCGGGATTTCTCAAAGCACACGTGAAACTCCAACCAGCAAAGCAGCAGAGAAGAAAGCACAAGAGCATCTTCACGACAGCAGAGCAACAAGTCACGCCATACAGCTGTAACTACGTTCCAGCACCACAAGATCTAAGTGCCATCATCATGAAGTCGAAGACCAAGTCAGCTAGTGTTATTCTAGAACTATCTCATGATTGTACTTTGCATATTTCTATATGAACAGCTAGGATCCAGCATAGGATTGTTATCATTGCTTGTACATATCCATTCCTTGCTGGTGACAGCAGAGATAGGATCAATGGCGACCTGAACGACCGTCTCAAGGCGCCATAGTCATAGAAGTGTGTATATGAGTAGTTGTTCACCCCTGGTATGCCATTCTTGCTTTCTGAAATTTACAGAATTCATGCTACCAGTTTTACCTTCTTGATTTAGACTCTCTAAGTTAGCTTTCAGAACTACTAACAGTCTTAGAGCTGTTCCAGTACCATCCATGACAGCTCGCTCCCTCAACATGGGCATTGCACAGACATCATTATCTGGTGGGACGGCCTCCGATCAGACACTCAAGATCATCTCCTGCCCTCCGTGATCCCCCTGTGCTTTCCGCAGTGATGTGAGCGGCAACAGTCTGTATGGGCGCATCAACCGCGACTTTAAGAACATGCTGACGACCAGCGGTGCCCCCCTTCGCACCTTCGAGAGCAAAGCGGCGGATGACAATCCCCTCGTCAACTTGGCTCACAACTTCTTCTTTGGAGATGGGGTGCTCTTTGCTGCCGGCTGCAAGGTCTGCCCCACTGAGATCAACGAGCCTAACAATCTGTACGCAAGGGACACCCTTGCATGGCAACAGTTTGGTGGCAAGTGCGGCTATCCCGTGGATGAGTCGGGCAAGACGGTGAGGGTGAGTCTTTCGGGCAACTGCCTAACCCTCACCCCGAACAGCAAGTGCTCATCCAACGCCACCCAGCGCAGCACGGCAGCCTGCCAGGCGTTCTGCAGCATCACGGACAACGGCCCGTGTGACGGCCATGGGGCATGTGTGCCGGCTGACCCCACGTCCCCCTCCAACTTCACGTGCCTCTGTGATGCCGGCTACACCACTCTCGACTCGGGCAACGGCTCCTCCACATGTGCCATCGTCCACTCCACCACCACCACCAACACTGGTAACATTTGCTTCATTCTTACAGATCCTCATTTCATTCCTATGTTCTGCACCAATAACCACGTTTCATGAGGCTTCTGCTATACACACATTTATCACCGCCCCATGTCCCTTCCTTGGCAGTGTCGTCTCTGTCGACGGGTGCCATAGTGGGCATTGTTCTGGGCTGCTTTGCTGGCTTCTCCCTTCTGGCTGCGGTGGTCGCATGGCTGCTGTGGCCCTGTGGACAGAGTGAGCCCCTCAAACCCTTCACTTCCATTCCATCTCCCCCATCACTGCACCACTTTCCTGGCTTCCTTCCCGACTCCCCACCTCTCCCAATTTTCGCTCTCCTCTGCCCTCATGCTCGCCTTTCCACTGTCCTCATGCTCCCCTACCCTCAGCCCTCGTGCTCGCCTTTCCTCTGCCGTCATGCTCGACTCTTCTCTGCCCTCATGCTCGCCTTTCCTCTGCCCTCATGCTCGACTCTTCTCTGCCCTCATGCTCGCCTCTCCTCTGCCCTCATGCTCGCCTCTGCTCTGCCCTCGTGCTCGCCTTTCCTCTGCCCTCTTGCTCGCTTCTTCTCTGCCCTCATGCTCGCCTCTCCTCTGCCCTCATGCTCGCCTCTCCTCTGCCCTCATGCTCGCCTCTGCTCTGCCGTCGTGCCCGCCTTTCCTCTGCCCTCATGCTCGCCTTTCCACTGCCCTCATGATCGCCTTTCCTCTGCCCTTATGCTCTGTCCACGCATCTACACCCCTAGTCTCTCACACCTCTGGTCTGATTTTTTTCTGTGCGCAGAGAAGTGGGAGGGGCTGGACGTGTGTGAGCAGTTCTCGCTGCAGCAGATGCTGAGTGCCACCAACAACTGGTCGGAGGACAATGTGCTGGGCAAGGGAGGCTTTGGCATTGTCTACAAAGGCCGCTCACCACAGGGCCAGCTGTGGGCCATCAAGCGCTCCACCATCATGTTTATCCTGGAATCTACTGCCTTTCCCTGTTGTGATGCTTCCTGTAGTCTCCGTTGTTGCTTATCATGCTGCTTTCCACTGCCTCTGTCATTCATCGACCTTTCTTGCATAATAGCCCAGCAGGCAATCCCTTACCTTTTCCTTCCACCGCACTGCATATGTTCCCACGCCTCACTGCCTCGCATGGACACCCTGCAGGCAGTCAAGTTGGTGGAGACATATGACGTGGAGGAGCTGAAGGACAGCAAGATGCCAGCAGTAAATGAGGAGGCCATAGTGGACTTTGCAGACCTGGCTCTGGACTGCATCAAGTCTCCCGGCACACGGCGACCCACCATGAAGGATGTGGCATACCGCCTCAGTGCCCTCATTGAGAAGCACTGCCCCAACGAGGAGGATGAGTGGGAGAATGTTGTGAAAGAAGAAGGGACAAGCAACCAAGAGATGCCTTCTGAGTCGTCTGGAGATGGAGGGAGGGAGCCTGAGAGGTCTCATGGCTCACAGTCTGGTGTGATCTCATTCACGGGTACTTTCTCGATGAGTGATAGCCTCAAGAGCTGGCTGCAATTGAAGCCATCCAATGGGCATTGAGTTTGCCCATAATGACTGCATATTGGCTGCTTAGCATGGAGGAACTGGAATTCCGGGTATAGGTACACTAATAACAAAGGATCTGGTGGCTACTCATCATGCACCAGTATGAATGGCTGGCCTGATATTGTATCAGTTGTGAGGCAGGAGGCACATTTCCATGAATCTGGGATCTGGAAGCAAGAATGGCATGAGATGAGAGTCAGCCGAGCTTTGTGTTGTGCATGGGAGGCATACTACACTGAAAGCCATTGGCACTTGCATTACATCGATGTGCATACTCGTTGGCTAGTACCCACGAGGCTGCCATTCACAATGGTGGATGGACAGAAACAACTTGCCGTAGATTGCAGGAAACGAGAGTGAGCGGAGCGGGGAGCCGCATAAGTCTGGAATGAAATGTATGCCAAGCCATGTAGCAAGAGGTTTGCCCCACAAGTAGCCCAGAATGGCAGTGTTCCCACGCCACCATCGCTCTTGTCATCCTTATCAGTTGTCATTGTCATGTCATGTTATCATGCCCACCACTATCAGCTGTCTTCTGAGACGTTTCAAAAAACATGGGGTGCTCCCCCTCCCCTCTTGCCCCCTCCTACGCCTCAGCTGCTGCTGCAGTCGACCTCCTCGGTGCTGAGAAGGTCGCAGCGGCTTCCGCTCCTAGTGGGAAGCGCGGCGGTGGCAGGGGCGGCAAGGGTGGCAGGGGTGGTGGAGGTGGCGGTGGAGGGAGCGGTGGTGGAGGCGGCGGGGGTGGTGGAGGTGGTGGGGGTGGCCGTGGGGGTGGAGGCGGTGGGTGGGGCGGCGGTGGGACTGGGAGTGGTGGAGGTGGCAGCGGCGGTAGTGGGGGAGGAGGCAGTGGTGGTGGAGGTGGGGGCGGGAGTGGGACCGGCCAGAAGGGGAGCTCCAGTGGGGGCCAGCAGCAGCAGCAGCAGCAGCAGCAGCAGCAGCAGCAGCAGCAGCAGCAGCAGCAGCAGCAGCAGCAGCACAGCAGCACCAGCAGCCGCAGCAGCAGCAGCAGCAGCAGCAGCGGCAGCAGCAGCGCCAGACCCCCTCTTCTCAGCAGCTCCATGACTGGTATGCCGGGCGTGGGGCGTCTGGGGGTTCTGGTCGCTGCCCCTATGTCATTCGCACTGGTCCCCGCAAGGGGCGCCCTTGCGGCGGTTTTCACACTGAGTACCGTTGCTTTGCTCGGTTTAGCGACGCTTGGCGCGCCAAGTTTCCTGATGCTACTGAATTCCCCAACTGGGCAGATCTGCTTAGGCGTGATGTACCTATCTATGATCTTGACTATGATGCAATCCTTGCTGCCATGTATGCATTGACTGTTAGTGCTGAGGGTGATTGTTACTTGTGTGTCTCGTCTGACCTAGGTATAGAGACTGCAGCCCTAGGTGCTAGTGAGTCTGCCCTCTCTGGTACTGCGTCAGCTCAGGCCTTGCACACGTTTACACTTGACTCTGGTGCTTCTCGCTGTTTCTTTCGCGACAGTACCACCGTCACCCCCCTCCCTGCACCTGTCCCTGTCTCACTGGCTGACCCCTCTGGGGGCCCAATGCTTGCACGAGCCACGACTGTGCTTCCGTGCCCGGCGGTCCCGTCTGGTGAGCTGTCAGGTCTCCACGTTCCCTCGTTCTCTACGAACCTGGTGAGCAACGCCGTCCTTCAGGATCACTGGGTTGACACCTGGACTCCTGGAGGGCAGCGTGTGGCGATCTGCACGTGCTCTAGGACTGGCCGCCACCTGGCCACGTTCACTCGTGAGCCGGGGTCCAGTCTGTACACCCTCACCACTGTTTCACGCTACACTCCTTTGTCTCCTCAGCTGTACGCGTCTGCTCAGGTAGCTACCCAGTGTGAGTGTCACCGCCTGTCGCACAACACTCTCCTGTGGCACCACCGCCTTGGTCACCCCTCCCTGCCTCGCCTTCATGGCATGCACTCTCGCTCCCTGGTCTCTGGTCTTCCCAGGTCTCTGCCTGCCCTCCCTCCCTCGCCTGCGCCGCCCTGCATTCCTTGCGTCGAGGGGCGGCAGCGCGCCGCTCCTCACTCCTCCTCGTTCCCTCCCACAGAGGCTCCACTGCAGACTCTCCACCTGGACGTGTGGGGCCCCGCCCGCGTCCAGGGGCAGGGCCGCGAGCGGTACTTCCTGCTGGTTGTCGACGACTACACACGCTACACCACGGTCTTCCCCTTGCAGCGCAAGGGTCAGGTCCCTGATGTTCTGATCCCCTGGATCCGTGCTGTTCGTCTCCAGCTCCGCGAGCGGTTCCAGTCGGACTTTCCTGTCTTGCGTCTGCACTCTGACAGAGGTGGTGAGTTCTCCTCCGACCTCTTGGCAGCCTTCTGTGCGGAGCACGGCATCACCCAGTCGTTCACGCCTTCCTCTCTGCAGCAGAATGGGGTTGCTTGTTAAAATCTATTAGCAGGAATGATGGTTGGATTGAAGAAACAAGGGTACATATCCTAACCCTAACTCTGGGTTGTACCCTATATGGGCTACCCCACTACAGCCTACACCAAACTCACACCTATATAATTTGACACACCCCCATAGGCAAAGTGGAGGAGAACAAGGGGTCACAAGACCAGTCAAGAGAAACAAAGCAAGCTCAGGGTGGATCACAACGTCACCACACACACTGAGCACAAGCAAAGGGCCACAAGGCCAGTCCACATGCAGAGGTATATATGCAACAAGCACAGTACAGTGATCACTACCTAGCAAGAACAAGCATGCAGGTATATATATAAAGATCACAGTACAAGCAAAGTCTACAACATGTGTGGAAACGTAGGCACAAGGCCCAACAAAGTACAAAAGCACTGATGATCACCAGACGGAAGTGCCTTGGTGAATATATCAGCAGTGTTGGCCCGAGTGGCCACGTGTGCAAGACGAAGCTGACCACGCTGCTGCAACTCTCGAGCAAGGAAGTAACGCAGAGCGATGTGCTTCGTTCTGTGCTCCAGTCTGTGCTCCTCACACAAGGCAATGGCGGCCTTGTTGTCGACATACAGAACTGGAGGAGAACGAGGCCGCTCTCCCAGGTCGGTCAGCAGGTAAGTGAGCCAGCGTAGCTCCTAAGCAGCCATGGCGGTGGCATAGATCTCAGCCTCACAACTAGAGCTGAGAACAGAAGACGAGCGAGTAGAACGCCACGAAACAGAACCAGAGCCGAGGCTGAAAGTGTAACCCTGTGACGACCGCTGTGTAGCCTGGTCGTCAACCCAAGAGGCGTCTGAGTGCCCAGTGAGGACCACCTCACTCCGCCCTCCAAGCACGAGCCCCATGCCCGATGTACTGCACAAGTAGCGCAGTACCCTCTTCGCAGCATCCCAGTGCACCTTTCGGTGCCGACCAGGAGCCACGTGTCAGTAGAGCTACACTGTGAGATCCCCGATCGATCCTAGGGGGGGTTAAAAGCATGTTGGCCTGGGGGGTGTTGGGCGCACTGACCCGCTACTGAAACAAGCCCTTTTATCCCAATGGTTAGTGGTTGGGATTCTGACATGGTATCAGAGCGGTCTCGGGTTCGAATCCCTGTGTATGCACATGCTGGCCGTTGCCACTGTGCTCAGTCCTGGGCCTCCCAGTGTGGGGGGGTGTCAGTAGAGCTACACTGTGAGATCCCCGATCGATCCTAGGAGGGGTTACAGGCATGTTGGCCTAGGGGGTGTTGGGCGCACTGACCCGCTACTGAAACAAGCCCTTTTATCCCAATGGTTAGTGGTTGGGATTCTGACACCACGTAGCGGGCCAGAAGGCGAAGAGGGTACGCAAGGTCAGGACGAGTGCAAGTCATCAGGTATATGAGGCAGCCCACTAGCTCTGGGTAAGGACCACTCGGCTCTACGGATTCGTCCGAAGGTGGAGCTGAGAGCGAGTGACCTGTAGCCAGAGGAGTGGACTGTGGCAAGGACCAGGTGAAGCCGAAGCGCTGAAGGACCTGCTGCACCATGTGTGACTGAGTCAGTGTGATGGTGCGACGTGCTCGGTCCCGGGTGATCTGCAAGCCAAGGTAACTACGCAGCTCACCCAGATCTGTGCACGTGTGTCTCTTCTGCAGCTCCGACTTCACCAGGGCGAGAGCCTCAGTGTCAGCAGTGGCAAAGACCAAGTCGTCGACGTACACGAGGATGTAGAACGGCGGCAGCGAAGTGTCGGTGCGCAGAAACAGCGACGGGTCAGCAGTCGACGGAGCAAACCCAAGAGCCGCAAGTGTCGTCCTCAGTGTGTCGTGCCACTCACGTGGCGCCTGGCGGAGACCGTAGACCGGCCGCCGGAGGCTCCACTGGGTACCAGGAGGGAACGACCCAGTGAAGCCAGGTGGGCGGCGCAGCCAGATCTCCTCGTGCAGGCTGCCCTGCAAGAACGCTGTGCTGAAGTCAAGAGAGTGAAGCTCGTAGTCATGCTGAGCGGCAACGTGCCGCAGTAAACCAAGAGTGGTCATCTTTGGCGTGGGGGAGAAGGTCTGGAAGAAGTCAGCCCCCTCTCGCTGACTGAAGCCTCGAGCAACGTAACGAGCCTTGAAGACAGGCGGAGAACCCGGTGGCCGCTTCACCCTGAAAATCCACATGCCACTAACGATGTTCGCCCCAGGAGGGGGAACCTCGTCGACGTAGGTGCCTGTGGACTTCCAGGATGCCATCTCTGCGTCCACGGCTGCCTGCCACTGAGAGGAATACTCACCCGCGATCGCCTCAGCGTAAGAGCGCGGGGTAGGGATGTCTAGTGCATCCGGGTCTCCCTGAGGGGCAAGCAGCATGGCCACGAGATGAGGCGCAGCGGCTGCAAGACACTCAAGGTCCTCTTGCCTGTCCTCAAGGACGTCCGTGCCAAGAGCACACTCACCCCCGACGGACGGAGGACAGACAGAATCAGACTCGACAACAAGACTGGCAGCGTAGTCTAGACGACAGGCAGCAGCAAAGTCAACAAGCTCAGCGACCAAGGCAGACGCAGCAGCAGACTCAAACGACGGGTCAGTGACAACAGTGGCTAA